ATTTAAAAAAAATAAGGTAGGTTTCCAAGGGATAAAAAAAAATGGGGATAATAATAGCACTTGGGCAGCTAAGGTGGCACAGTAGATAAAGTGCCAGGCCTGGAGTCAGGAAGACATCTTTCTGAGTTCAAATCTGTCCTCAGACAGTTACTAGCTATGTCACTTTGGGAAAGTCACTTAACTGTCTCTGCTTCAGTTTCCTTATCTGTAAAATGAGCTGGAAAAGGAAATGGCAAACCACTCCAGTTTCTTTGCCAAGAAAATTCCAAATGGGGTCATGAACAGTCATACATGACTGCAAAATGACTGAGCAACAAAAAATAGCACTCAGCTGCCAGGGTTGTTAGAATCAAATGAGTTAACATATTGAAAAAGCTTAGCAAGCCTTAAAACATTATGTGAAGGCTATTATTATTTTGATTATTATTTAGCTGACACATTGTGAGAGAAAGGGTAAATCTAAACCCTATCCTGAACAATTCCTACATACTGTGTAAACTTGGGTCAATTGCTTAACTTCTCTGGCTTTCAGTTTCTTCATCTGAAAGTTCTAAACTATATAACCCCAAACTTCCAGGATCAAAGCTATGATCTATCATCTAAATCTTGCTTCTTTAAAGTGAGAAATTAAACTACAATTTATACTGTTACTTTCCCTCATGTCAGCACACTGCACAATTTTTGCTAATGACATGTCATTGATCTACTTTATGTTTGTATATTTTAATTTTTTTTTCAGTCATTTTCTTCCAATTTAATTGATCCAAGTCTCCATACAGGCAGTTTCCAATCTTTTTCATTACCAATTACATTAGGATACTTGCTAACAATAAAACAAAACAAACCCTACTGGTAAGTTGACTAAAATGGTTCTCTTAAAATAGAACTTGCTAACAGGTGAATCTGTCAATGATAACACCAAGCAGGTAGTTAATTTTTACTCCTTGAATGTGAATTGAACACTTACTTTGGGCTACAAGAGAGATACAAGAAAAGAAAAACACACGGTCCCTTTCCTCACAGAGCTCTAAATCTAGCCAAAGGAACACTTGCTCCACAGTTAACAACTTCCTTTCATCTTAAACCTCTTCCTTTTTTTCAAATTCTTCCCATCTTCTAGAACTCACTGAGACCTGATTCTGTTCTGATGACATTGCTTCCCTTACAACTCTTCCCAATACTGCCTACTCTTTTTCCATACTCCCTGATCTGACATTGTGGTGGGTGAGTTGAAATATTTCTTGTTCCCTCCAGGCTCCCTCTATTACCATCACTGAACAACCTCTCTTCCTTTGAGGTTCATGCTATCCAGATTTATCACCCACTGCAGATCCTGGAGGCTATTATCAATGCCCAGAGCATTCCCCTTCCTTCCTCAATGAATTCAGTGCCCAACTGACAGTCTTTCCCTACACCCCAACTCCTGCCCCCATCCTAGAGGACTTAACATACATATTGATGCTATACATCAAATACTTTAACTTCCCAATTCCAATCTACTCAGTTCCCATGACCTAACCCCCCCCACTTATCCTCAGTTACACACAAAATTTCCTTGACTTTCCCATCACCTATAAATGTTCTATTTCCATCTTCATAAACCCTGAAATTCCTTTGTCTGAGCATAACATATTGGCATTCTATCTTTATGCCTTAAAATCTGTAACCTCACTCCCTATTACTTCCAAGATCAAATATGGACTCCTTGACATTCAAAAAACTTCATAACCTAGCCCTCTCTCACCTTTCCAATATTTCCTCACCTTTCTCCCCAACCCCATTATTTAATTCAGTGACATTAGCCTCCTTACTGTTTCACAAACAAGATGCTCCATCTCTCAGGTCCAGGCATTTTCCCTGACTGTTCTCCATTCCTGGAATGCTCTCCCTCCTCATCTCTGCCTCCTAGATTGCCTGACTTCCTTTAAGTCCCAACAAATATCCATCTTTTACAGGAAGCCTTTCCCAAGCTCCCTGGGTTTTAGTTCTCTCTCTCCTGTATACAGCTTGTTTTTATATATCTATGTGCTTATTGTCTCCATTAGATTGTGAGTTCCTTAGGAGCAGGGACTCCTTTGCCTTTCTTTGTAGCTCCAGCACTTAGCACAGTGCCTGGCCCATGGTAGGTACTTAATAAACATCTACTGATTGATCCATTTTAGGGAAGCATATCTCATGTTCTTCTTGTGAAAAAGATGAGATGTAAGCCAGACAATTAGCTGAATTTAGTATTGGTTGAATGGATCAATTCAGAGTTTGTAAAATATTTGTAAAAGCTGGGAATTGAAAAGGCTCTTGGAATCAAAATCCAGCTCTTTCTGCTCTATTATGGATAGTGCAACTTGGAACTAGGTCTCTAGTAACGTCCCCCAGAGATCTGTGCTTGACCCCACGCAGCATAACACTAATTACTCGAATAAAGGTAGAGACAGCATGCTTTTCAAAAAAATTTTGACAGGCTAGGATATTGGGCAAGATCATAGGAGTGGGGAACCTGTGACCTTTAGGCCACATGTGGTTCCCTAGGTCAACTGTGACCCTTTGACTAAATGCAAATTTCACAAGACAAATCCCCTTAATAAAAGGATTTGTTCTGTAAATTTGGACTCCGTCAAAAGGCCATACCCAAGGACCTAGAAGGCCATATGTGGCCTCGAAGCCACAGGCTCCCCACCCCTGTCAAAGACATCAACTACGTTGAAATTTAATTACAATGAATGCAAAAAAAAAATCATCAGAGAAAATTGTTTGGAAGAGAGCTGATAGTTTTAGTGGAATACATACTTAACCAACAGTGTGAGATTACAGCCAAAAAGGCAAATGTAATCTTAGGCTGTATCAAGAGGCAGAACTTCCAAGAACATGGATCAGTGCTATTACTCAGAGGTTCAAAGGAAAGATGCTATCATAAGTATCCTCTATTTCCATTGGTTTGCTGTGACAATTCCATTGTCAAAATACATATAGCACTGAGTTTAGAGTCAGTAAAACCTGGATTCAAATCCAGCTGTGGTCAGATCACACCTAGAGTATTACATTTAATTTCGGCCATAATTTAGAAAAGACATTGGTAATTTAGTGTATCCAAAGAACCACGAGGATGGTGAAGGACCTCAAGTTTATGCCATATGAAATGAAGACAATGGGGATATTTAGCCTGGCAAAGACCCTGTTTGCAGGGGGAGGTACCAGAGGGCTTGGTTTTGGTGGTGGTGGTGGTGTTCAGTTATGTCCAACTCTTCAGGACCTCACGGACCATAACATACCAAGGCCCTCTAACCTCCTGAAGTCTGTCAAAGCTCATATGTTCATTGTTTTCATGACATTCTCTAGCCATCTCATCCTTTTCCTTTTGACTTCAATATTTCCCAACATCAGGGTCTTTTCCAATGAGTCCTGTCTTCTCACTATGTGGCCAAAGTATTTAAGCTTCAGCGTTAGTATTTGACCTTCCAATGAATAGCCTGAAATAATTTCGGTAAGTATTGACTGATTTGACCTCCTTGCTGTGCAAGGTCTTCTCCAGCACCACAATTTGAGCGTTGATTCTACGGCACTATAAGTGCCAACTCTCACTGCCATGTTTACCACTGGAAAAACCATAGCTTTGACTATACAGACCTTTGTCAGCAAGGTGATCTCTGCTTTTTAGTATGCTGACCAGATTCGCCACAGCATTCCTTCCAAGGACAAGTGTCTTAATTTCATAGCTGTAGTTACTGTCTGCAGTGATCTTTAAGCCCAAGCATATAACATCTGACACTGCACTTGCTAAAGTATTCCAATATCTAAAGGTCTGTCATGTGGTAGTACGTTAAAACTGTTCTGCTTGATTGCTTGCCGTCTTGGAGAGGAGGGGAGGAATGGGAGGGAGAAAAATTTGGAATTCCAAGTCTTACAGAAATGAATGTTGAAAATTGTCTTTACATGTAATTGGGAAAAAATAAAATCTATTAAGAGTGTGTTTGTGTGGGATTGTTCTGTTTGACACCAAAGGAGAGATAAGAATTTGCAGAAGCATACTTGGGCTTGATGTAAGGTAAATATTTTCTAGCTATCTAACACCTGTAGCTATCCAAAGGTAGCAGAATGTGCTATCAAGGAAGAAACCAGATTCTTCCTCATATGTGTATATGTGTATGTATTTATATATACACCAATATTTAGGGGTCAGGAATAGAAAAGAAGAGAGATCAGACTAGGAAGACAAGATCCATGAAAGTACAAAGTCAGAAAAGGCAAAGGAGAAGAGAGTTACAAGAAGGTGGAATAGGATGAGAAGGGTCAAAGAGGACATGACATCAGAATGCCATTGAGCTGATCTACTGATCATTGGTGACTTTGAGAGTAGTGTCAGGAGCTGGGAAGGAGGAAAATATATATTAAGTCATGGAGTAAATAGGTGGTGATGTAGAGGAAAGGATTGTAGGAAAACTTTTGAGAAAACTCTTTTTTTTAATGATACAGGGGACCTGAACAGGTTTGTTGACACAGGGAAAAAATCCAGTGGAGGTAGAATAGAAGGAAAGAAGAAAGTAGGAGGATGATGATTAAAATAAGAGCTAGATCTATATGCACATATACCACTTGCATGTTCTACCTCCTAAAACTACTGTTAAGTCACACATATACACATATGTGTGTATATATGTATACATATACATATATACATATGTGTATCTTGTTCATACTGCCAGAAATCAGTGACATTACATCCAGCAAGAGAAAAAAAAATTCTATTGTTTAGTTTCATGTGCAATAAATGTGTGTTTTTCCCCCCAGATTTTACATGGTAGAAAATATTATGACAAAATCTTGCTTAACAGAAACTTTCTGGAATCAAGCCAACACTTTGAAATATTACCACATTCACATTTAATCACATTTCTGACCAGGTATAAGGGTGGAAGAAATTTTTGAGGGCAGAGATGTGAGGGAAGGAGGAAGGGATGGAGGGAGGAAAGGAAGGAAGGAAACATCAGACAGAAAAACTCAATATATTCATGTATTAGGGAAATAATTTAATGATCGAAATATCAGAGAATCATTAAACACAGTATTTGAAGTTATACTCTGGTTGAGAAAAACAGATGTTAAATGGTGGCAATTACACTACAAAGTTGAACATGAATTCATCAAATAGATACCATAGAAGTTCTGTTCTGAGTTGGTTAGCTTACAACTCCACCCATGTTCAAATGACTCCTGCAAGTTGAAAGGACATATGCTTTGCAGAAAGGCTATGCTGAGGGCAGGGTTAATGTCAGGAGATTAGACCAGGTCCACAGGGGCAGGAAGGTCTTTGTGCACAAGATTCCTTTGATAGGGGATAAGGCAAGCATTTTGTGCATTTTGTTTCTTTTCTCTGCCTCAGTCAAAAGACAACAAATAATTTTAAGAGAAATGCCAAAATATTCACTCTGAACAGGGGTTCCCCTTTTTGGTGTGCCCTGGATCCCTTTGGCATTCTAATGAAACCTATGGACCCCTTCTCAGAATCAGAAAGTAGATCTAAACTAATGACTTAATCTTAGATAGCATTAAAGGAAATGCTAAATTTCAGGTAGAGGTTAATGAAAATAAAGATGTAATATTTTTCCCATCCAAGTTCATGGCCCCCTAAAATCTATCTGTGAGGGTAATGGATCCCAGGTTAGGAAGCCCTAATTCAGAGGGAGGCTAAGGCCAGTCAGTCTACTGCCTCACAGGTAGCTTGAGTCCTATCCCAGAGTATCATCACCAAACCTAACAGCAGCTTGTTTAATTTCAGCAAAATCACTACTTTTCCTACACTCTTCTTTCTAAGTTAGTGCTAGAAAGGTAGGGGTGGAGATAGCTTCATAAGTATTATCAAAATGAAAGAAATCAGTATTTTTAAGGCAGAATTTTTAAATCTGCTGAGAGTTATTGCTAATCATCCATTTTTAAGGGAGATTTTGCCATTTTTAAAAAACAACAGCAACAATAAAAATAGTGTTATGGAGGGAGCTAAAATAAGGATCTGTGAATACCAGCACAGAAACAGCCTAACGTGTCTAAGCACAGACTGTGTGATTACTATTGTCCTTGGCTTATCTTCACATGTTGGTTGATAAGTCACTTATGAGCGAGCCATATCTTCAGGCAGTCCCTCCACCCACACAGTTCTGTGCTCACAATGCACATGCTAAAGAATTTAGCTATCACAATGACCATTGGGTGAAAGACAAAAAATAGCCATTAGCAAGAAACCAGGTAAATAGTCCTTTAAGATGAACTGACCATAATTTTACACACACACACACACACACACACACACACACACCCTACGAGATTATTTTTCTTATGGCTTACAGAAATCAGTTTTGCAATTTTGTATTCATACCACATACACATTAAAAATCAGAAATCATTAAGCACCATTTCTAAAATTCAGTCATTCTCTGGGACAAATTTCAAAAGGATCAAACAACTTAAAACATTAAATGGCAATATATAGATCTTTATGTGAACTTCAGGATGTGTTAACATTGACATTATTCACTACAGAGAGATTATCTTCCTATCCAGTGCTATTTATGTGATTGAGCAGTGAACACCCCACACCGGAATCAGTTGACGTTTACAAGGGCATGGGGTGATTTACTTTGTGTGTACATGTACAAAAGCAGATGTCTTTCATTTTTGCCTCTTCCAAAGTTGGAGACCATAGAAAAGTGGACCAAAGGATGTCCTGAAGCAGATTCCTCATTGGTACCCTAGACCAGGGCTTCTTAAACTTTTTCCACTTGGGACCCCTTCTCATGTTTTGGCAGTGTTCATTGGCATCGTGTGGCATGAGGGCATGCGCAGTGCAACATGGGCATCCTTTGTGCTCAGAACCAAGGCTGCAATGAAGTTGTATGATGCAACACAGGCAAGCACTGTCAGAAACATCTCAGATTCATTATGAGTTTGATTTTTAATTAACCTTTGGTCACTGCACACTCAGAAACCTTTTCCTGTTGTCAAATCTTTTGTGACGCCATATGGAGTCACAACCCACAGTTTAAGAAGCGCTGACCTAGACTATGCCACTTTAAAATTCAGACAGCCCTGTACAGTGAGTAGAGACCAGAGGTTCAAGAGCTGTCTCTTCAGAGTAGCACTCCAGCACTCCCCTATGACCTCATTCAACTCAATCCAACCATGGAAACATGAAGATTTTTTTTCTGAGAAGAGGATCTAAGAGAAAAAGGGTAAATGCCAATGATATTGTTATTGGATTTGGGATGATTTGATCTCAAGATCAACTTTACCCACATAACATCAGAGTGGAAGTTTGTCCTACTTTAAAAAATAACTATTAGGGTTATTTCAGGTAAGACTATCTTAATGGATTTTCTGGGGAAACATTAGCTCTGAAACTTACCCAATATCAGAAATATGGAAACCATGTCAATCTGGAAGCCATAGGCTTCTTCATTAAATTCTGGAGGAGAGATAGGTCTGTTTCACCAGAGATAAAGAAAATTGTATTTTACAAATTGACTGCTCAGGATATCTTAATAGGTACTTTTGAAAAAGAAACTATAAATCCAAAGTGTGTTATTTAAATAATTATTTACAACTTCTTCTGATCTATTTTTAATGCTATATTAACACATGATTAGCCCTAGGTCTTTTCTGGTGAAGTCTAAGTTAAAGACAAGAAGCCAAACTACATCCTTCACTTCAAGCCCTTACACTATCCACACTTCAAAGATAAGGATAGCCAGGGGATGCTATGAGCCTCCATGGACCCAACTGAAGCCGTTTTCAAGACAAGTTCACCGGGGAGACTTATAGCTCACTGGGTGTATTCCTGGTTAGAAGAAGAGATAGAACTTTATCTCTCATAAAGACACTAGCAGAAACTAGTGGATGGACAATTTAGGTTCTTTAGGGGAAACGAAAGGGGGTGGTGTGGAAGAGGATGGAAAAAGTCCTATGAAGTTAGAACAATTCCATGTTGGTCTCCACACTCTGTGAAACCTAGAGATGGATAGCAGCAAGTCTTTTGATCCAGTTCTACCAAGATACTTTTAGTAGGCTTCAAATTGGCTCATCATCAACTTCCTACTGTATTCATATGCCAAAAACAGGGCCCCATTGGCAGGGAAAGCTCGGATCAAAGTAGGTTTCAGTCCAGAATATAAGGCCCCTATCCCTACAAGACAAAACAAAACAAAAAAAGATCATTTGGCATTACAACGAGAAATATGAAATTCCAAATGGCAAGACATGGAAATACAAATCATGGTTAAAAAAAATTTTTTTTGAGACAGCAACAGGGGACTGAACCCATGCTTTCAATGATATGAGAACCCCCTCTGTATGAAGGAGCTCCCTCTCCCAAGCTAGGTCACCACCTTCTCTACAGCCCAGTGCACTAAAGAGTTAAGTGACAAAGGTCACAATGGCAGTATGCATCAGAGATGGGACTTGAACCCAGGTCTTCCTGGTTACAAGGTTGACTATCACCTACACCACACTGTTTCTCTGCTAAAAATGCCTGTAAATGTATATAAAACAACAATTCCAAGTGCAGCCAATGGTTTTCTCCAACCATACTAACAGAAGTCACAGGCAACTTCATTATACCCTCAAGGTAACTGTGAGATCAGCGCTCATGTAACAAATCATCTGGGCAGTGTTGGAGAGAACATAAAAGCATTGGAACTGACAACGAGTAGGGGTAGCTAGGTGGAGCAGTGGATAGAGCACTAGCCCTGAAGTCAGGAGGACCTGAGTTCAAATCTGGCCTCAGACCAAACACTTGACACTAGCTGTATGACCCTGGACAAGTCACTTAACCCCAACTGCCTAAAAGCAAAAAACCCCATATATTTTCAAGTGCCCTATTTTGGACAGCCAATACTCAAACTTTGCATATCTCTTGTTCATTTGAAATTAGAATACAAAATCCAATCTAATTGCCAAGTGGCAATTGGTACCAAGGATGGTTGTTAGAAGGATGGGTACTAGCCTCCTGAACTCACAAGGAGAGTACTTAAGAGGTTATTTTTTCCAACCCTTTCATACTTACAAGGACCTAATACCGATATAAAGATGTTAATAATCCTGAAAATTAGCTAGTATTACTCACACTTTATGCTCCCCTTGACACTAACTTCCCAAAACAGAACTGAGGAAGAGTTCAGAAAATGCTTGCTACAGATATGTTCTGTGATACAGTATCTGATATACAGTTTTTCATTACTGCTTTCTTGACTGCATTTATTCTGTGTTTTGGGGGTGGTTATTGGAGGGGGGGTCAACAAAAGTGATACTAGAACCTAGATATCTTCTTTGAACACTTGTAGCTTCTCAGAGTACAGCTCATTCTGGCTGAAGTTGCCTTGGTCCTCCCTGATTCACTCTCTCAAATACATTCATTCAATCCCCTCTTTCCAAACTTACTATATACTCATTCTTTCCGAGTTCCACTTTCTTTAGGCTTCATGGATACAACCTGAATATTCTGTGAGTAGCAAATACTCAGGCTGCTAGGTGGCACAGTGAATAGAGTGCTATGCCTGGAGTCAGGAAGATTCATCTTTTTGAGTTCAAACCCAGCCTCAGACACTTACTAGCTGTGTGCACCTGGGCAAGTCACTTAATCTTGTTTGCCTCAGTGACTTCATCTGTAAAATGAGCTAGAGTACCTTTGCCAAGAAAACCCCAAAAGGGCTCATGAAGAGCTGGGCAAGACTCAACAACAGCAAAGCAAATACTCTGTTCAAGCTTTTCCCCTCATCATTCCCCACTCCTCCAAGGACAAAATACCAGCCCTGGTACTAGATCCTGACACTCTCTACTTCTATGGGGCCAGGAATTGCAAATATCTGCTTCCCCATCCCCAGTGTTAGGCCCACAGCTGAGCTTCCTTTTCTCAAGGAAGTCCCTAGTCCCTCCCATTGCTCCTGACGCACTAGTGATGAACAGGTTTTCTTCAATATTAGACATGGCCAGTTATGGAAAAGTTATGGTCACTAATGTTCACTGTCATTTTTTAAGGGACTTGAAATTGATTATCACTGGAAAAGATGTGCAAAGAACCTGTCTAGATACAATGGGTCATGTTGAACTCAAAGTCTTTATGACAACCAAAGCCCTCTGATCACCTAAGAGTTAAGCAAACTGAGGCTAACAGGCTTGAGGTTGTGCAATGCCAGCTTTAGAACTGCTCCTAGTGAACAACTTTGAGGCAACAAAAAGAGGATGTAACAAGGACGAAGGAGTGTTCCAACAGCTACAATGCTAGTAATTGATCATGTCTGTCAATTCATCAACTGGCATTTATTAAGCACCTACCATGTGCCAAGCACTGTGTTAAGTGCTAGAGATACAAAAACAAAAGAATGTAGCAATCCCTGCCCTTGAGGAGCCTACAAATCAAGAGAAAGAAGAAGGCAGTAGCTCAAATTTCCCCACCAAAGTTTGGCCCTCAGCCAAAAATTTTTAAAAAGGAACTCTGGAAACATTAGGTAGTACCAGCCACCATACACGTTTTGCATTCTATTTTTTACATTCACAGACTCACCTTCATTTTTCAAAACACTTGCAAATGTCCCCACGAAGCCAGCTTGTTTCCCAGACATGGAAAGAACTTGGATTCTTGATTTGATACAGTCCACCGGATACACAGCAATCCAGAGGCAGACGCCTCCAAAGCCACCACTTAACATCAAAGGGATGGGTCCTAAAGAGGAAAGCCAGAAAAACACCACTTTACCGGAACTACAGGGCAATTGACATCATCAGCTCAACACCTGGGAAAGATCACCAATGAGAGTTTCTCAAGAATAAATCTTAGGCCAAAGAATACGATCCCAGGAGGGGATTCTTAAGGGGACAAATGTCACCCTGTCACCTACAGAAGCACAAACTATTTCCGGTTTCTGGACCCTTGGCTTTCCTTGTATCTTTCAGGACAAGAAACTCCAAGTTCACTTGAAAGTTCTTGTTCTACACAGCTCTTCACCACAGCTTTATAACATAACTACTTTGTCATGGAGTTTGGGGAAAATGGAGTAACGTAACCGAGTCTTCCCAAAAATGTCTAACAGGAAATAAAGCTTTCATTTGTCACCACCTCCCCTAAGTCCTATAATTCATCTTTTCTCCCCAGAGGCCCTACAGCTTTAGAACCCCTACCCAGGGGTGGGGAACCTGCAGGTTCAAGGCCACATGCGCCCTCTAGGTCCTCAAGTAGCCTTGAAGCCACAGATTCCTCATCCCTGCAACTTTTGATTAAAAGAATAGCCATTGAAGTTCAAGAACAGTTAGCTGTACATAGTAACAGCAATATTGTAATGAAAACCAAATGTGAAAGATTAACTACTCTGATCAATGCCATGATCTCCAACATTTCCAAAGGACTCAGGATGAAAAATGCTGTCCACTTCCAGACACAGAATTGATGGACTGAGTACTGAAGCATAATTTTTCACTTTTTTTTGCTTCCCCTGCCCATCCCACCACAACGTGACTAATGTGGAGATATGTTTTACATGACTTCATACTTCAAATGGGTATCATATTTCTTGCCTCCTCAATGGATAGGGAAGCAAGTAGAGGGAGGGAGAGAATTTGGAACTGAACATCAAAATTTAAAATAAATTGACCTTGCTGTTGAAAAACAAATGAAAAAAAAAAGTTGTCCTAATCATGGAAGAGATGAGAAGACACATTGTTCCCTAAGAAAAGTAAGGATCCAGTCAAGCATCCATACATAGTAGGGTGATTATATTGAACCGAGAGATGACTCAGATTCTTCAAGGGATTCATCAAATCCTGTATTATCTAAGACTTTTTATAATTTGCTATTGAAGTTTCTCCCAAGGTTATTTTTCTACTATGTAGAAATCCCATGCAAATATTTTCTCATTTCTCCCCTTCCTCAAATAGACATCCCCCCCCACACAAAAAAAAAGGCTTAACTGAGTTAATGAGGAAATAGTATACTGAGGAAGGTGACCTGGAATGCATCCTTCAAACCTCTACCAAGGGGAGGTTTACCCAACCTTAGGACAAGGCTAAGAACATTTGTCAATACATGCTCCATCTTTGTCCAAAGCCCCCATACCATATCTCATGGACGCCTGTATCATGTGGAGGGCAGAGCCTAACTTCAGTGAACACACTGGCATAAATCAAAGCACGCACAACAGTCTGCGATTTGTTCAAAAAATGAAGAACGTACCCAACTCATCTTTTGATCTTCCTGATGCAAAAAACGATCGGCTCAGTTCATAGCCACCAAAGAACAAGAAATATCCAGGTACTTCCCTAAGTAAAGTGCTGGAGAGTCCATGGAAGAAACCCAGAGGGCCATCCTTTCGAAGGATGTCCTTTACTACCGACCATACTGTACTGGGAGAAAAGACAGCATAAATACATATTAGCTTGCAAATGATGAAGGAATAAGACAGTGGCCCCGAAACCACCAGTACCAATTCTGGCTGTGGTACCACAGACCCAATCCATTAAGGGTTCTGGCTGCTTCCTAGCAATAAAAAAGCTGGTCTTGTACCAGTCAGAATAATCAGCCTCTCTGAATTCATTCCTTTCTCAGAACCTAGGAAGGATTCAAGACTCCAGCTCTGGAAATATCTCTCTGCAAGCTTTCTGGTCCTCTAATTCTTCCTCCTGGGCAGGGTAAAAAGGAAACTTGGCTCTCAGACCCATGGCTCTTGCCCTTTGCAATTCTGACTAAACTTTCCTGATCTCTAACCCCCAGCTAGGAGTTATGAGAGCTCCTGGACTTTTCTTGGCCCTTGATGCCAGCTTGGCTCCCTGAATTCAAAGATCTGAGGATTGTACCTCAACCCTAATTCCCTGTCTCCTTACCTGTTAGAATAATCTGCCTGATTATTCTTCTAATGCATCCCAGTTCTTTAGCCCTCTCTTTCTGCTAATCTTCAGGTCAGCCTTCTCCCTCTAGGGAACGAGTATATTTTCTAGGATTTATTGACAAAGAAAGGGCAGCAAGGTGGCACAGTAGATAGAGTGTTAGGACTGGAGTCAGGAAGATGAATCTTCCTGAATTCAAATCTGGCCTCAGACACTTATTAACTACGTGACCCTGGGCATGTCACTTAACCCTGTTTGTCTCAGTTTCTTCATCTATAAAATGACCTGAAAAGGGAAATGGCAAACCATTCCAGTATCTTTGAAAATAAAACCCTAATGAAGAGTTGGATATGACTGAACAAGAACAAAATTGACAAAGAGGGAAGAGAACATATATAACAGCAATTCTATATCAGCATAACATAATTAAATCTACTCAGTCTCAGAGGAGGGGGCCCTAAACTCCCTAGGCCAGCAGTAACACACTGAAAGGGAAACAGATCCTTGCCTTAGAAAACCACAAATTGACATTGTCTGTGTTGTATTGTATTTTTATTTACTTTGTTAAACATTTCCCAAAGACACTGTAATCTGACTGGCCCTACCAGCTGCCACCTCTGCCCTAGGCTTCCCTGTGCTTAAATTCCCCTCACCCGGCTACCTTAGTTTTCCTTCATGGCCTATCTAGAAGCACAAGACCATAGATTTAAAGCTGGAAGGGACCTTAGAGGTCCCTTATCACTTATCAGCTGAGGCCCAGAAAGGGTAAGTAGCTTGCCCAAGGTCACAGGCACCCTAAGAGGTAGAGCTGGGATAAGAAGCCAGGTTCTCTGATTCCAAATGCCATATACTTGCCACTCTCCCACCGGGCTTTCCGGCATTTGCCTCTCTTGCAGCCCCAGATGGGAACAAGCCTTTCCTTCAGAACATAAACAAGATGAATCTAACATATGTCTAACCTTGAGTTTCTTTGCACCAAGCTCATCATTCCTTTCTTCCCAGTATAGGTTTGTTCTCAGCCCACCAAAAAGTCTGCTGATGGCAAGACAGGGCTTGTGGTACTCCAGCCTCAGCACTACATAATTGCTTAGCTATCTGAATACACAACTTCATCTTTTCCCTCCCCTCCTCTCCCCCTTAACTCTTCATCCCCAGAAATGGACAAAGGCAAATCAGACTATTACCTCAATTAAATTTCAATAAAACACACGGTTTATCCTTAAAGTTCACAACAGACAACCCCATTCTTTACAGAGTCTTTTCGTGGTGAATTAGCAAGAATTAGAACCTTAAGGGGCAGCTAGGTGATGCAGTGGACAAAGCTCCAGTCTTGAAATCAGGAGGACCTGAGTTCAAATCCAGCCTCAGATATTTGACACTTATTAGCTGTGCGACCCTGGGCAAGTCACTTAACCTCATTGCCTAGCCACCCAAAAAAAAGGAAAAAAAAGAATTAGAACCTTATTAGGCTGATTTAAAAGTTCTCTTATTCCTATCTCCTCAATTTTCCTTTCTATACTTTATGTTTTAGTGGGTAGCAAGTGGATTTTGTTCAAGTGGCTAGATGACCAAAATAGAGAGGAAGGAGTTAAATTGAAGGGAAAATGTTACTTGTAGGCAGTTCAAAAGATCAGCTACAACAAAGGTGTCAAACTCAAGGCTTACCAGCCTCAAGGAGCCTGCAAAACTCCCCAGCAGCTGACAGAACCATATTAAAATATCATTGGGATTACTAGATGTGTGATCCTGGCCAAATCATTTAATATGCTGATACCAGTGAGCTACATCTAAACTGTCCCATACTGAAAAAAAAAAAGCATAGAGAGATAAGGATTGCCTCTGGTTTAAAGAACTCCCAGACGAGGTAACTCCCTCTGCCAGTGCAGTGTCAGTGTCTTCTCTACAACTTAAAAACCTGGAGTTGCCTAAAGCACAGAAATGCCAGTGGCTTTGCCCCAGGTTGCATAGCCAGTATGTGTCAGAAGTGGGACTTGAATCTAGGTGCTCTGCTCTTAAAGCCTGGTCTCTATCGCATAATGCCAAGCAGAAATTGAGTTTATTAAAGACAAATAAAGAAGAAAAGTATAGAAAGCACTTGAGTAGGACAGCTTGTTGTAAGAACATCTACAAAACATTTTGCCAGGCCAGGAGGTGAAAACTTCATTGTCATAAAGAGATATAGCCCCGCTGTAGTGGCAAGAACAACAAATTTGATGTCAGAAGACCTGGATTGGACTAGATGTTCCCAGTTCTAAATGCTAAAATCCTCTGAACATTCCTTTGTACTGATATTCATCACTTTCTTCATACTGAACCAATCCTACATTCCTGGTATAAATCCAACCAGGTCATAATTTATCATTTTTTTTATATGTTGCTGTAGCCTCTTTGCCAAAATTTTATTTCCCACTTTTGCATCAGTGTTCATTAGGGACATTGGTCCATAGTCATTGTAAGAAGCCTAATTTATGTTTTGTTTCTTTTTTGGATTGAGGACTAGAGAGAGGCCATTTACCAAATAGTAAATAATAATTCACTTCTCACTTCACTCTCTGGCAATAGATGGGATTCAAAACTCAAGTCACCTGAGGACCTAGGGGCCCCAACATAATTAACTTGTGTCTGATGTCTTCCTTCAAGAAATTCAAAAGGTTTAACCAGACATTAGCTGATTTGCTAGGTCCCTCCAGTATAGACAGGAAGTCAAGATCAGTTCTGTTTTGTAAAGGGCAACTATAACAGGAGACTTACATGATTTGCCCAAGGTTGTTCTGGGGACCAATGTAAAGATAAAACAACAACTAGTCCCAATACTATGTAACCTCTCATGGTTGGAACATTTCTCTTCCAAGATAACAAAACACCCAGTGTCACCTTTTTTGGTATGGTGTTCAATATTACATTGTTATTGTTGTTATTTGTCCTTCACTCTCAAAGTGGACCATGACACCAGGAAGGTGATGCCACAACTTGCAAATGAACTGGATTAAGGTGAGGGAAGGCTGTGCAAGGTCACCAGCCTCATTTTCTCTTCTGGAGCCATCTGGATCTGGCAAGATATAGATCAGGATGACTGGAGATGGCTCCCCCCAATATTACATATAAGGAGAAAGAATAGACTACTCTTCTAGCTGAATTATTTAAATTGCTTTTTAAAAATAATTACCTTGAAATTAAAGTAATTTAAAGAAATTAATTTTATTTACTTTTTTCTTTTATATCAGTCATTCTCATCAACAACTTGTATCACACCTCAAATTACTTTCTTTAAAAATATCTTGGGGGGCAGCTAGGTGGCACAGTGGATAGAGCACCAGCCCTGGATTCAGGAGGACCCGACTTCAAATGTGACCTCAGACACATAACACTTACTAGCTGTGTGACCCTGGGCAAGTCACTTAACCCCAATTGCCTCGCACAGGAAAAAAAATTAAAATAAATAAATAAAAATATCTTAAATTCTTGAGAATGTCCTTGGGTGTGGCCTTTTGACTGAGTTCAAGTTCAGGTTTTACAGAACAAATCCTTTTATTAAGGGGATTTGTTCTGAAAAGTATGGACTCAGTCAAAGGACTCTGAGGACCTAGAGGGCCATGAGTGGTCTCAAGGCCGAAGGTTCCCCATCCCTGGTAAGCTTTTTTCTAGCATCAAGGCAGATTAAATGTCTTAAAGAGTACAGAAAATAAGGTTTCTACAAATCTTATTGACAGAAAGCTGCTGCTCTCTAAAAAAATCAATATATTTTAGAGTGGACAAATTAGGATAAAGTAGGCTTGTTTCTGTGTTCACTCTTTAATTTATATATTTGCAGCAATGTCCAGAGACTTTTGCCCCTCTTCCCACCAGAACACAGGGCATCCAACACACAAGACTGCCCACCCCACCCCAAAGTGACAAGGAAGTGCTGTGGATCCGCACTAATGGAACTTACTTCTGGCCTTCTGCTATCTTCCCTGATGTATGCATTTCATACATGGTCTGTAGTCGACACTTCACCAGCTCTGTGGGACACAGTACCAGGGCAGCAAAAGCAGAAGCAAAAGAGCCAGCAGCCGCGTTCTGCATATCGCTGAACAAGAACACAACAGAACGTCAATCAATGCGTCTGCCCACAAACATTTATTAAGCACCTACTATTTGCAGGTAGCAGTATACTTGTAGTCAAGAAGACCTGGGTTCAAATCCTCCTATGACACACCCACTATCTGTGTGATCCTAAGCAAGTCACAACCTCTGGGTTGCTCTAGGCAGCTTCCTAAGCTGTAAATTGCAAAGAAGGCACTCACTTACATGTTGAGGGAGTTTGCTCACCTGTGGGTTCCCCATATCAATGAAATCACTAGTCGGGTCCTTACACTATCCCTATTTGCAATATATTCTGCTGGGGCAGCTGGGGGTGCAGGGGATAGTGTACCGGGCCTGGAGTCAGGACTCAAGTAACGAATAAACATTTATTAAGCAGCAGGCACTGTGCTGAGCGCTGGAGATAGAAAAGGAGGCAAAAGGCAGTTCCTGCCCTCAAGAAGCTCACAAACTAATAGAGGAGGCAACATGCAAACAAATACATAAAAAGCAATTCTTACAGGTTAAATAGGAAATAATTAAAAGAGGGAAAAGCACTGGATTTAACAGGGGTTAAGGAATGCTTCTTGCAGAAGGTGGGATTTTAGCTGGGACTTAAAAGAAGCCAGGGAGATCAGTAGTTGAAGAATGGAGAGTATTCTAGGCATGAAGGAGACAAAGAAAAAATGCCCAGAGCCACGAGATAGTGTCTTGGTTGTGAAACTGGATTGAAGAGTACGTGCTGGGGAGTAAGGTGTCAGACTGGAAAGGTAGGAGGGGGCCAGGTTATGAAGGACTTCAAATGCCAATCATAGCATTTTGTATTTGCTCTTGGAGGCAAAAGGAAGCTACTGGAGTCTATTGCATATGGAGATGACATGATCAGACCAGCACGCTATTACAATAATCTAGGCATTGTTGTAACGGCTGGGCAGGATTATGGCACAGAAAGCCCTTTGGACCTGAGTCAACAGTGCAGGCTGGAGAGGAATGAAGATATCTTTGACTTGGGTTTCATTCTTAAATTAGAGGTTCTGGGAGGAACCAGCCAATCAGAACATGGGGCCTCCCAGGCAGAGGTTACTTCCAGTGTGAGAACTAGTCCAAGGGTTGAGCTTGAAACAGAAAAAAGGAACCATAGTCTCTGCCCTCTAGGAACTAAACTCCAGTGAAGGTGATAATAGCAATAGGTAATTATTGCTCTTAAGCAAATAAACAGTAATAAAGCAAAATGAGTAATAATAAATGTGTGTACTTCCACTCTAAGGCTTACTTCACATATGTTATCTCATCTAAGTCTTAGAACAACCCAGTAAGGTAGGTCCTACTGGTGGTTGTCACTTCAGGCATGTCTGACCCTTCCTAACCCCACTACTCCTACCGGTATTATTTTTTAAATAGGATTTTATTGGTGTCTTTTTTGTTTTACATCATCAGTTTTCCCCAATAGCCTTCTTACTTCCCCAGAGCCATCCCATAGAATAATTAGTATTTTTTAAAAAGAGGTAAAAAAATCTACACAACCAATCAATATATTTAAAAAGTCATAAAATATATGCAATGTGTACCACCTGTGGACCTCCTACTTCCATGAAGAGGAGAGTTGGAGGTGTCCTCTCCTATCTCTTCATTTGATCTTTATAATTTTGCTACATTCATTTTTGACTTTTTGCTGTGAGGTTGTTCTTTCCATTTGCATTTTTTTTAGTCATTTATACTGCCTCTTGGTTCTGCTTACTTCATTCTGTATCAGTTCATGTACATCATTCCATGCTTCTCTGTTCATCTCACACATAATTTCTTTTTTATTATTATTATTTTCAGTTCCAAATTCTCTCCCTTCCTCTACCCTCCACCCCTTGAGAAGGCAAAATATGATGCCCATTATACATATACAGGCAAAACATTTTTGCATTAACCACATTCCAGGGAGGTAAAAAGCACAAAAAATAAAGGGGAAAAAATATGGTAACCTGAATTCATTCATTATCTAACTGCAGGTGAATAGCATTTTTCATCATAAGTTCTTGTAGTAGATCACAGTATTGATCAGAATCACAAAGTCTTTCACAGTTGACCATCCTTATATTGCTGTTACTGTGTACACTGTTCTCCTAGTTCTGCTCACTGCACTTAGCATCAGTTCATATGTCTTCCCAGGTTTTTCTGAAATCATCCCTTTCATTATTTCTTACAGTATAATAGGTTACATCATATCATAAACCACAATTTGTCCAGCCATTCCCCAACTGATGAACATCCCCTCAATTCCCAATTCTTTGCCATCACAAAAAGAGCTGCTATAAATATTTGTGTAAATATGGGTCATTTCCTTTTTCTTTAATCTCCTTGGGCTATAAATCTAAAAGAGTATGCATAGTTTTATAAATCTTTGGCCATAATTCCAAATTGTTCTCAAGAATGGTTGGACTAGTTCACAGCTCCACCAAGAGTACACTACTGTAACTATTTCCCCACATCTCCTTAGCATGTCATTTTCCTTTTCTGCCACTTTAGCCAATTTGATATATGTGAGATGGTACCTCAGAATTGTTTTAACTTGCACTTCTATAACTGTTAGTAATTTAGAGCATGTTTTTATATGATTATTGATAGATTTGATTTCTTCCTCTCCTTGATCATATCCTTTTCCACTTATTAATTAGGGAATGGCTCTTATTTTGATGAATTTCACTCAGTTCTCTATATGTGAGAAACAAGAATTTTATCAGAGAAACCTGAAACAAAAAAAAAAATTTCCCCCAGTTTCCTGCTTGTCTCTAACCTTGCCTGCAATAAATTTGTGCAAAAACTTTTTTAATTTTATGTAATCAAAATTATCAATATTACTTACTGTGAACCTCTCTATCTCTTGTTGGTCATGAAGTCTTCCCATATCAATAGATCTGACAGGTAATTTTTTCCATCCTCCCCTAATTTGCTCAGATCACCCATTAAATGATAGACCCATTTTGAGCTTAGCTTGATATACAGTTTGAGACATTGGTCTGTAACTAGTTTCTGCCATACTGTTTTCCAGTTTTCCCAGCAGTTTTTGTCAAATAGTGAGTTCTTGCTCCAAAAGCTGGGATTTGGGGGTTTATCAAACATCAGGTTACAATGCTCACGTTCTGTATATTATGTATTTAATCTATTCCATTGATCAACCGCTCTATTTCTTATACAGTGCCAAATTATTTTGATGATTACCAATTTATAATGTAATTTGAAACCAGCTACTTTAAGCCCCCTTCGTGTGCATTTTTTTTTATTCCCTTGATATTCTTGACTTTCTGTTCCTCCAAAAGAATTGTTTTTTTTCCCTACCTCAATAAAATAATTCTTTTGTAACTTTATTGACATGGCACCAAATAAGTAAATTAATTTAGGTAGTATTGTTATTTTTATTACACTGACTTGGCCCACCCAGGAGCAATTAATATTTCTCCAGTTTTTTAGACTTGTCTTTCATGTGAAGATTTCGCAATTGTGTTCATAAAGTTCCTGTATGTGTCTTGGCTGGTAGAATCCCAAGTATTTTTAACTGCCTGCAGTTATTTTAAATGGAATTTCTCTTTCCATCTCTTCCTGCTAGAGTTAATACAGAGAAATACTTATGATTTGTGTGGGTTTATTTTATATCCTGCAACTTTGCTAAAGTTGTTAATTGCTTTGATTAGCTTTTTAGCTGACTCTCAAGAGTTCTACAAGTCAGCCATCATATCACCTGCAAAAAGTCATTGCCTATGCTTATTCCTTCAATTTCTTTTTCTTTTGAAATTGCTATCAGTAGCATATCTAGAACAATTATTGAATAATAATGGTGAAAATGAATATCCTTGCTTTACCTTTGACCTTACTGGAAAGGCTTCCAGTTTATCCCTAATATAGGCAATGCTTGCTCTTGCTGTTAGATAAATTCTACTTATTGTTTTAAGAAAAGCTCCATTTTTTCCTATACTTTCTGGTATTTTTCATATGAATGGGTGAGGTATTTGTTACATATCTATTGATATAATCATTTGATTTTTGTTGGTTTTGTTACTGATATCAGTAATGATTATAGTTTTCCTTATATTGAACCTACCCTGTATTGCTGGTATAAATTTAACCCAGTGAAAGTATATGATCCTTCTGATAAATTGCTGTAATCTCCTTGCTGATAGTTCATTTAATTTTTTTCAGTTTATATAATATTAGACTTAATTGTTCTTTAAATATTTGGTAGAAAGTTTTGGTAGAGTTTGCTAGCAAATCCATCTGGTCCTGGGTTGTTTTGGGAGAGTTATATTTTGAGAACTTAGCAAAATTGCTTTCACAATTCCACTCTGTCACCCATATTATTTCTTACAACACATTATCATCTGCCATTTTGTTCATGTTCCACAATTTCCCCAATCAATGGACATCTACTTTGTTTCCAATTCTTTTTTTTTTTGAGGGGGAAGCTAGGCAATGGGGTTAAGTGACTTGCCCAGGGTCACACAGCTAGTAAGTGTCAAGTGTCTGAGGCTGGATTTCAACTCAGCTCCTCCTGACTCCAAGGCCAGTGTTCTATCCACTGCACCACCTAGCTGCCCCTCCAATTCTTTATAATCACAAAAAGTGCTGCCATAAATATTTTTGTGTATGTGGGAATTTTCTTCTTATCATTGAGTTCCTTGGAGCTCCTACTGATGGGGTATGGGTCCAAGCCGGGACCTTTGCCCCTTATCCCAAAAAGAATTTGGGTCTCATTTGTCTAAGAGATTCTCCTTGAATTCTCCCACTTGATCAAGGAGGTCTAGGGCATTCCCCTGAGGGCCATAATTCCATCAATTAGCCTTTCATTGGGGCTAAACCCAATCTCCCAATTTAATTACTCTTTTTTTTTTAAGGCAACTGGGGTTAAGTGCCTTGCCCAGGGTCACATAGCTAGTAAGTATCAAGTGTTTGGTCTGAGGCTGGATTTCAACTCAGGTACTCTTGACTTCAGGGCCGGTGCTCTATCCACTGCACCACCTAGCT